AAAAATAAAAACATTAGCCAGGCAAGCTGGCATACATCTGCAGTCCCAGCTAATCAGAAGGCTGAGGCAGAAGGATCACCTGAGTCCAGAAGGTTGAGGTTGCAGTGAGCCATGATTGTGCCACTGCACTCCAGCCTGGGCAATAGAGTGAAACTCTTGATTCAAAAAAAGAAAAAAAAAATGACACTTCAAGCTTTATGACAAGTAGTCTTGAAAGACAACAAAGACAAATTTCTGAGATTAAATGGGTTAAGAGCAGGGCTCCCTTTCTTAGTTGGTCACAAACTGCAAATTATATTATAGAAGCATTTTAGAAACTATTCAGAAGGGAACTGACTTCTGAGGCCACAAATCATGTATTTAATCAAGACCCGGAATGCAAACACTGCCTCTACCCAACTCTCTGAATTGCCTATTCTACCAATAAACACTGCTTCTTTCTTTCAAAAATTGAATCTCATTGAATCAACCAATTAACTATCTTGCTCAGAGCACTACAACTTCCTAGGCCAACCCTAGAGAGTGGGGCGAGTCTGCCTTCTGGGAACATCTAAGTTCTAAAATACTATCTTAAGAACATGATTGTTCATCTGTTTCCCAAAAATTCCTACTAAAGGGAATTCCTGAGTATCCCAATAACTCCGGAATCGTTCAGATGCAGCTAGGAAAAAAATCAAGAGATACTTCCACTTGGAGCAAAAACCATTTGAAACTCAAATCTCACCCCACAAGTTGTAAGCAGTTACAACATGATTTGTGAAGAGCCGTCTCACCAGGCCCTGCTAAACCTGAACAGATATATGACCATTCTAGTCTTTCCTCCCATTCCTGCCCCATAACTGGCTTCCTTCACTAACTGCTGCCACATTAAGTCTCCAGCTACTGTCTCCCCTCAGTGGAAACAAGCTAGTTGCTGCGAGGAAAACCACCCTTCATTAGTTATTTATATGCCTCCTTCTAAGTTTAAGTAGCAGAACTAACACTTTGTTCTTTCTACCTTGCTTATCTTACTGTTTAACATAAGAGTATAACTTGTGCCCCAATTCCCAGACACAGAATCTTATTTATTCTGGCAACTAGTAGGTTCTTATCCTTCAATATCTCATTGAACCACTTCCAAAGGAAAGAAACTTGGGTTCAAATGAAGATAATTTTTTTCTTTCATACTTGTTAACTTATTAAGAAAAGTAAAATGAGAATTCAAATCTCAAAAGGTCTATAAAGAAATGGAAGTTCTTTTTAAGTGCTGTTAACATGGGTTTCAAAAACAAACAAGCAAACCAAATATGATATTTCAGGTGTAACCAAAACGTGGCATTTTACTTAATCAAATGTGAAATCTACAGAAAGTAACTCTTGAGAATTAAGATCACTGAATAATGCAACTTTCTAGTAAGAAAATGTCCTGCGAATTCTCTAGAGCTTTTTAAAAATAGGATAGGATCTTCTATTAAGATTGGTTTAAGATGGGAGCAGTGGCTCATCCTTATAAATCCTAGCACTTTGGGAAGCCCAGGTGGGAGGACTGCTAGAGCCCAGGAATTCAAGACCAGCTTAGGCAGCTTAGTGAAATCCATCTCTACCCAAAAAAAAATGCAAAAAGTTAGCCAGGCATGGTGGCACGCACCTGTAGTTCCAGCTACTTGGGAGGCTGGGGCAGGATCGCCTAAGCCCAGAAGGTTGAGGCTGTGGTGAGAGCAATGATGGTGCCACTGGACTACAGCCTGGGTGACAGAGTGAGACCTTGTCTCCAAAAAAAAGATTGGTTTAGTAAGGTCCTACAGAGAGATAAAAGAACCGAATTAGATAACCCCCTAAAAGTTCTTTTCAATGCTAATAAGGTCCAAGTTTTCCCCAAGGCTAACTGCCATCCTTTACCTCAAATAAAGGCTGACCCTCCCCCAACTTGTCTGAACCACTGAAAGGAAAAATTACTGCTTTATTGTTCAACTGCTCTTCTTGCGAAGACTTTCTGTCTACTGTCATCATTAAACAGTCACATCTGATCCTTTCAAAACCCATTTCTACCACAGCATCGATTTATTCAAACTCTAAACACAAAGCCGGAGTTGCCTCATGAGCACACACATTCCCCTTTCAAACACACTGAAACAGACTACCGAGAATGTGAAGGGATCCTGGAAATTCCCAACTTCTCTCCTGTTCATTAAAAGATAAACACTGGGACAGGTGAGGAAATAACTGACACCTCAAATGTGTTATACTCTAAATGTGTATCTTAGTAAAACTGTGGCATACACCTGTGCACCTGACATCTTAGTTGTATTTTGATTGCATGATCGGCCACATTTCCCCCAGAAAGAGGTGAAAGATAGGCAGAGGCTAGAACACCGGCACATCACTTTAATTAAAATAAAAACAACTTTTAAGATACAGTATTGGGCAACCCCCTCAGGTCCCTTCCCACTGTGGGAACTCTCAATAAATCCTGCTTTCTAAAAAAAAAAAAGATGACAGTATTGTTCTCATGAAGTTACCAGGTTCTCTCTTTTGTATAGAAAAAAGAAAAAACCTCACACACAATATTGCGCTACATGAGTGTACAGAGCAACAGATCTGGAGTCTTTGTTTTAAAAAAGATGTATGAGAAATTGTTTTCTAGAAAGAACACGGAAGCCCTCAGACCATCCCAATAGACCATTCCTCCAAACACCACCAATGTGCCCTGAGTGAAATTTTCCACCACAATATGTCCCCAAAAGTCAGCCAGATGTTGCGGTCATACGAATTTTTAAAATCCATTTTAGTAACTTGATATTTCTTCATCTTATTATTTGGCAATTTCTGAAGAAATGCCTTGCCTACAAATGATAGATTGTTAGAGATTATAGGGGGAAGGAGCTTGATTTACTACTAAATCAGAATAGAACTCCTAGGGATTCAAAGGAGTATTTCAACACAAAGCACCTCTAAAGTGAGAACATCTTTCTTTTGACTTCCTTTTTCCTCTTTAAAAAAAAAAACAAAAAACACCATTCCTCAACTGTTTAAGGCCAGGACCAGCCTGGGCAACATAGCAAGACCTTGTCTCCACAAAAATTTTTTTAAAAATTAGCTGGGTATGGTAGCATGCACCTTGTAGTCCCGGCTATTCGGGAGGCTGAGGCAGAAGGATCGCCTGAGCCCAGAGGCTACAGTGAGCCATGATCATGCCACAGCTCTCCAGCCTGGGAGAGAGTGAGACTCTGACTCAAAAAAACAAATGCCAAAAAACAATAAACCTCACTCATTCACCTGCAATGTATTTTCTAACTCCTACTCGTTAAATTTGTTAGATTCTATACCACAACAATTTTGTCTTATTAGCCACTTCCATTGCTAGGAAAAGGATAAATCCCTCCATTGCTCAGAATAAACTGATTTTTTTCACTTCCTCTCTCCCACAATTATTTCTTTTTTTTTTTTTGAGTCAGAGCCTCACTCTGTCATCCAACCCAGCCTCAACCTGCTGGGCTCAGGCAATTCTTCTACCTCAGCTTTCCAAGCAGCTGGAACCACAAGCACATGCCACCACACCCTGCTAATTTTTGATTTATTGTTGAGACGAGGTCTCGCAAAGTTGCCCAAGCTGGTCTCAAACCCCTGGGCTCAAGCAATTTTCTTGCCTCCGCCTCCCAAAGTGTTGGGATTACAGGAGTGAGCCACCAAGCCCAGCCACAATTAGTTCTTAAAAAGTGGAAACAAATCTTTTGAATCTGTGTATTCCTCTGTCTTGACACCTTACAACTTCAGGGAGGTCAAGTCTCTCTCACGCATTTTCCCCCCAAGTCTCACAGCCTCAGTATCTCAACATGACCTGGAGAAATGCTTCGTGTTCTGTTTCCAACCGAACAGGAACAGGCCTACTCACTGCTACTAATTTGGGGAGGAGTCTGCCAGATATTTATGTTAAAGACAAATGAAGATCACCAGCCTATGAAAACTGCAAGTCACACTCCTGGTAAGGATAACAGATTACTTAAAAAAAAAAAAAAAAAAAGTTTTCCTAACATCTGAATGAAACTTAAAAGAATTAAAGTCAATTGCAAATAACCACAGCACTCTCTTCCAGCAATATTGATCTAGCATCTTTTTAAACAGCTCATCGTTAAAAACACATTTCAACAGAATACCTGTCGGTCCAGAGAAATGGGAGGTTGATAATAACACATGCCTTCAACTCAGAACTTTGCAAGATATTTTAGAAGTGCCTGCACTTGGCTGATGATTCAGCTTTGGTTAATTGGCGCAGATTCATAGCAAGTCACCACCAGGTTAAACGACTCCCTTGTGTGACAACAGCTCCCTTGTTCAAAGGGTCAAAGGGACCACCCAACTCCACCTGGAGCAGCGAAGGGGTCTCGGCCCAGAGAGAGAAGGCGGTATGCTTTCGAGGCATGGGCCTGGGTTCCCGGCCAGATCCAATGCCTGGCTCGTGGAGGGAGAGTCCCGAGAGTGACAGGAAGAGACTGGGTGTGTTCCCACCTGCCACCACCTAACTCCCCGTCCTCTTAAGGACCTCGAGGGTGGTTTTCCTCGGACGGCGGCAAGACTTAAGAGGAAGCAACTTGTCCGGCGTTTGAGGAGGGGTCCTCGGGAGAAAGAACCAGGAGCCCTTGAGAGCCCCTGCCGGATCTGAGGTGTCACTCGCTGCCTCCCGGGGGGTGGGGGCGACAGGCACTTTTGGCGGGATCGGGCAGAGAAAGGTCCCGGGGTCCGAGGGGCCACTCGCTGCCTCCCCGGGGGGCACTTCTGGCGGGATCGGGCAGAGAAACGCGCCCGGGGCTTGGAGTGGGGCCCAGACCTCCGGGGGGAGGGGAGGACTTCAGCGTGGAGAGGAGGGGGAGCGCCGCCGTCCTGGAGCCCCGGCCCGCGGAGGCCAGGGCAGCGCCGGGACCCCGCCGCCAGCGCTCCTGACCCCGCAGCCGACCCCGCGGACCGTCCCGCGCCCTCGCCCGGCCCGCCGCCCGCCGCCCCGGCCCGGCCGCGGGTCCCCGTACCTGGCTGGCAGCGGCGCCGCTCCTCACGTACCCGTTCCGCACCTCCCCGTTCGCCACGCAGCCGTTCGCCCGCGGCGCACGGCGGCAGCAGCAGCCTCCCGGCCCCGGCCGCATCTTCCCGGCAGCTGCAGGCGCGAGGCAGGCTCTGCAGGCGGCAGCGGCTCCCGGCCCCGCTCCGCACCCCACCCACTCCCCGAAACCGGAAATGACAGCCCCGCCGCCGCCAATCCCCGGCCCGGTTGCCACGCGGGGGCGGGGCCTTACTCGGGGGCGGGGGA